TTCCATGTCTGGAGGCTGTGAGAGTTTGCACGGGGGTTAAAATTGAATCCTAGACAAACAGAGGTTTGTTTATGCATAATCTGGCTTCCCTGCAACAACCTCTATTTTGGACGTGGAGGAAATACTCAGCCCCCAAAGAAACAAGTCCATGACTTGAGAGTCCTCCTGGATCCACACCTTTTGCTTAATAAGCAATTAGAGGCCATAGCTAGGGAGGCCTTTGCCAAACCTCAGCTGATATGTCAGTTGTTGCCCTTTTTGGAGTGGGAAGGCCAAGCAAAGTGATTCATGTTCATATCACATCAAAGTCAAGATACTGCATGGGATTCCAAATAATGTGATTTCTTTAAAAGATTAAGGGAATGCAGTAGATGTAATATATCTTGATTTCAGTGAGGGATTTGACAAATACCCCATGGATATTGTGATTATCAAGGTTTGAGTTGAAGGAATACCAATTAAGTGAATTTATGACAGCTGAAAAATCATACTTGATGAGTGGTTCCTTATAAAAACTAGAAAATGTATCAAGTGACTCACTAATGGTTGAATCCTTGGGTCTTCATTCTTCAATATTTCTATAAATAACCAAGAAGAAAAGAGGCAATGGTTATTACATTTTCAGATGATGCATCTGAAAGTAATTAATATCCTAGAAGATAAAAAGAATATTCAAAATCATCTTGACAGGGTAGAGAAAAAACAGAATGAAATTTAACAGAAACATAGGGAATATTACCCTTTGTATTGGTACTTGTGATAAAGATCTTAGAAAATGATGCATAATAATAAAAGATTGAATATGAGTTGACTGATCTGGCTGAAAAAATCATTAGATGTAATTTTAGAACTTGTTAATAGAAGTTTAGTTTCCGAATCATAGCAAGTTGTTTTTTTCTTTGGTCACATGCCTTGAATACTGTGTTTGGTAATAGGCAAAATCCTTTAAGAAAGATTTAGACAAACTGGAACCAATTTGAAGAATTGCAAATGGGATGATTTTGGAAAAGGTTCAGGGAAAAAGCAACTATGAGGAAATATTGAGAGTTGATAGAGGGACCTGGTTCCATTGTTTAAAAAGCTGAAAGAATGTCACCCATAAGAATGGAATGCATTTCTGTGTCCACTACAGTTGTTTATTAGAAAGTATCTTCTATGCCTCTGGTGTCAAAGATAAGAAAGATTGAGAAATAAGCTTAAGGACTTTGAAAATCCCTTTTCTGCAGAGTGAATAGATACCAATCACCTATGCAGCATGCCAAAGATGATATAAGTATACATCATGGACAATTAAGTTACTGGTGACAAAAGACATGTTGTCTTTTCTGTTTCTCCAAAGCGCTGGTCTGGTTCCTGTTCACCTTCTTAATCTCACTGCCTATCTCTTCATAGATAGGATGCTGCAATCATGGGTAACAGACAAGGTTCCATTTGCATGTCTGTCGGCTTCTTGTCAGTTGAGGAAACATCCTGATGTAATGAAGCCATGGTTCTAAAATCTTACTTGACAGAAAAATACATTCTGAAAGCTCATATTTTTGTGTGTGAGTTACTTTGACTGGTTCTGTTTAAGTATTGCCCAATTGTGGACTTTCTTTTCACCATAGATCAATTTGGGCAAGATTGCTTTTAATTTTAAGGTGCAATGCACTGAAAAGTTCCTCATCAGCATTATAAAGCATGCAATAGTAAGTGCCCTTCCCTTAGACATTTTGCTCAGAGCAGTTTGGGCTTACTCATACACAGGGTTTGGTCCCATTAAGAGATCTCGATCTGCTTTTATGTTCTTCTCCCATAGCCCTCTACAGCAGACTGTTGTTACTTGTATAATGATTCAGATGCTCTGATGAAGAACTGTCAGAAGTGAACTGTTCTTGATTTCCATTAAAAAAATAACTTGCCCAAGACATACTTAAAAATTATAGTAAAATGCCAGATAATGTATGTTTTCACATACAATTTGTAGCTTTTCTTCTTTTTAATGCAAATAGCATGAGGGAAAATCTACACTGGAATAGTTGGGGGGGATGGGGGAGTTAAGATATTCCTTGACTTACAACCATTCATTTATTGACCATTCAACGACACTGAAAAAAAGTGACATGATCATTTTTCACACTTATAACCATTGCACCTATAACCGTTTGAGTTATGGTGCTTATTAGGGATTGTCGTGAAGGCTCTATTGGCATCTCCTAGCATGCAATCTGATATTTGTCCACTGAGCTTGGTAATTGGTCTTGAGGTAGCTAGTTTATCCATGATCTTATACCTCACATCAGCTGCTGGGCTCTGTAATGGAGGAGGTGGCAGAGACATTCCATTCTCAGGTGTTGGCTGCACATCCAGTTGTTTTTCTGGGTCTTCTTGAGTCCAGAATGTACTGTGTAATTGGTTTATCTCAAGTTGTGAGAGCATCTTCCTCTTCATTATGTTGAAGTGTTGGGTAACTAGCTGTTTCTCAGTCAGTGTGAATGTAGTTCTTCTGTCCATTCGTAGTTCCCTCATGTTTCATACATCCCCTCTCAGTAAGTAATCTCCTCTCCTCTCATTCATGTATGATTTGTTTCAATAGCTTACTTATCATCAGATTGTTCTGATTGCCCAACATTTGATGTGGACCTTGTTAATAGTAAGTATCAGCCACAATTTGAACTTAATCTCCCATGACAAAGGTATATTCTTACATCATGTTATCCAACCAGTTGCTATACACACAGATGTACAAACAAGCATAAAATATAATACCAGTAACAGTAATAATAAAAGCAATGTGCCTTGGGTGCAATCCAAAAACATCTGGAAGACCTTCACTATCAGTCAATTACAAAAGGCGGTTTATTTTGAGACAGCTTACCTCCTGCCATGATCCCTCCTGTGGTGATACCTGTAGCACCATAAAAAAAATGGCTTGATTGTGTTATTGTTTTGTTTATCTGAAGTTTCTGCCTGACCCAGTCTTTCTAAATGGATTACCAAATCTGCATTTCAATAAGCTGGCCTCCTCAAATGCTGCTTGGGGCAGGGAAACTGGAGCTAGTTTTTGCCTGGGAAGTTTTTTTCATTTCTCCTTTAAGGGAAATATTCTATCCTGCCTTTTTAATATTCCTTCAAATATTTCATTCTTTGGGGTGGGGCTCTCATTAAGAAAGTGGGGGCTATTAAGAGTTATTTTCTGCCTAAAAATACGTTTCTCCATTTCTGATCTAGGGAAATATAATATTCTGCCTTTTAAATATTTCCTAGGATATTTCATTCTTCTAGGAGACGAGTGGGTGCTAACTTCTTATAGCGTATTATATGTGATTTAATGTTCTTCCAATATCTATTCCAATTTCTCCTCATCAATTTCCATTCAGGATGTAAGTTACATTTCTGCATACTGTTGCATAATGTTGCAGAAAATGACAGGCTTTAGACTTCTCAGGATACAGGAAAAGTTTATTTGTCTGCCAGGTTCAGAAAGCTAACCCATGGCTAGTATTGCAAGCTCTGAACAACCTTCATTATCGAAGCACACATTCTTATACATTCTCAAAGGCAGTGTAACACGGAAACACTTAACTCATTTCTTAGTGGTTACCTTGAGGAGAAAGCCTTATAAGGAGATGGGGTCTTCTCCTTTTGTTACAGGTATGGAGTAGTGTCATTAATGAACTTTAATTGAACTTTGTGGTTTGGACTTTTGACATAGGTTTTGACATAAGGACGTTGGCTAGCTAGAACATCTTGTGGTTAGGCACTTGCTTCCTGTTCTTTTGCAAGCTCCAACTCTGTCTACATGGCTTTTAATATAGAAGGGGCCCTGAGAGGCTGTCCAGCCTGACCCAGTAGGTTTAACACTTAATGTCCAAATCTCACTTTACGTCCTACTTTAATAATGTGCATCACCACCCACATGCATGGCACACAAAATACCTTGTTTGATTTTGGTTTAGTGGTCCTCTAAACTCAGCCATTATGGATTTTAAGATCTTTTAAAGGGTCTAAAGTTTATGCCTTAATTTGTGGAAATCCCTTTACTTTTATGCGGGTCTTACAATTTATTCTGAAACAAAGTCATGAAAGATACGGTAATTCCGGTGAATTTCTTGTACTTATTTTCCTAAATACATATATTCAGCAGCCTTCCCAACCAGTCTATTATCCAGAATGAGGACAACGGCAGTTGTAAATCAATCCAATTCAAGGACGAGTGACATGCTGTACAACTGTGTGTGTGTGTATGCTTTTCCTTTCGAGACGAGCGATTCCTCTGTGCAGAAAAGGAATCAGTGCGGGAGATGGGGCGTAGGGGAAAGTTCAAGTATTAACCCAAATGCACAAGGAGTGAAAAGTGAGCATCTGGATTAGAAATAAAGCGACTATGACCGGCACGATGGATAGGACGGCTGGACCGAAGTTATTACAGAAGTATCGTGATGATTGCTGGTTGATTCCATGGCGTGTAAATAAAGACCCCAAAACTCCCATTTTAATATGACTGAACTTCTGAACTTCCATGCTTGCAAATATCGCGCACTTTATAAGAATTTGAAAAGAATGTTACAGGCAGATATGTTTTTAAGAAGCTTAATAAACTGGAAACGCTATCTTTAAATAGAATAGCCATGCTCTTACAAAACATGAGGGAAATTTACTTCCGGAGCGCGTCCTTTTTAAAAAAAAAATGGTTTCAGAGGCATCCGCTTGCAGCCACCTGCCCTTACTAAAGATGATGGAATGGTCCCAGTCCGTCCCTTCCCTGTGAAGTTCTTTGTAAAATACCGTATGGCTTAGTCCCTTGCCCTTATCCAAGATGGCTACTCTTCCGTTCCCATTTTTATTTTTTTATTTTTGGGTGCGTCACCGGAGGGGCGGAGCCGATCTCGAAGCACGGCCTCCGGCCCTCCTTGCTTATTGATGCGCGCGGAGCCGAGGGTGTGTCCGCGTGTGTCATGTGCGCGCGCCGAATGCTCGCGCCCGGGCCGCGGCTGCCTCCCGCACGCGCCCAACGACAGAGGGAGGAGTGAGCGAGCGAGCGAGAGACGCGGCAAAGAACCGCCTCGCGCACCCTACGGGCCAAAGAGGGGCCCGCAGACAGACGCGGAATTCTCAGGCGCTGAGGCGGCAAGAGCGTGATGGCGGCGACGGCAACGACGGCGGTACCAAGGCTGAAATGGGAAGCGACTCCGCGCTCCGCCGGGTCCTCCTCTCTTCCCGTGGCGACCGAGAGCCTAGCGTCGACGACGGCGGTCCCCTGGCTAGGAGTAGCGCTGCGGTTATTGGTCGCGCTGCTTCTCAACGCGGCCCGGGCCGACAAAGAAGGTGAGGAAGAAGCTGCCTATGGATATACCTCCTTCGGGGGCGTTTGTTAACCGAGCATCGTCCCCTTAGCTAGAGCGGCCCGGTGGGGTGTGGTGGGGGGATCCGAGGGACGCGGGCGATGCCTTCGGAGCCTCTCTCCCTCCTCCTTCCCCAGGTAGTTAAACATCCAGGATTTCAGCGGGTTTCTTCCTTTTTATTGCCTGGCCGTCCCTCTTGTTGGATGGTCCTGTGCAGTTGTTATCTGCGGGTGATCCCCAATGATTTCCGTAACATCGCGTCAGTGTTGTTAGTTAGCACGAATACAACCAATACTGTTTCTACCCTCCCAAAGTTTCTGCATCTTGGGTGCCGCCGTTCCCTAAACCGCTTGCCTCTGCTTTTCACCCTTCTCGAAGGCCCCTTAACGATTTCTTCTCGGAAATAATGTATTTCATTTTCTTCTTCTTTCTTGGTGCTGCTGTAATTCTGTCTCGTCCCCTCCCAGCCCGGGCTGCCAACTCACTGCCCGGCCCTGTTAGTTGCTCCACCCGGCTTGGGACCTGCCTCCCCTGGGCTTTGACTTTCCCCACTTTGTAGCCGGGCCGTAGTAGCTGAAGCTATGCTTGTTTGACAATAAAAAAATGAAGTTGCTTTATTTTATTTTATTATTCTCTTGTGTTTTATACCGGCGATCGGAATGGAAGACGACTTGCTCTTTAGCCTCTCGACTAAATTCTAAAAGCTGAAACAGTTATTGCACCATTTACAGCCAACGTTAGACTTGGCTTGCTTGTTTAAAATTATTTTATTCTAAACTATTTCTTCAGGCCACCCTAAGCTTCCTTTACCTATAGCTTTCCTTCCTGTCCCCCCAATGGAGATATTTGTGAAAGTATAAATAGTGTAATACTTACTACCTTTGCTGCTAGGTTTATGATGGGTGGAAGTGATACCTGGTTATTGTAAAGAAGCATGTATTCAGGTTATGAAGAAATTTCTAGACTAGAAGGTATAGAAAGAGTCTTATCATTTACACTTGGTCTTGGCTCTAGTGGTTGATGCCAATCCAAGAGGAACATGAAATGAGGGAAATGTCCCCTCAAGTTTCCATTCCACAAACGTATATTAACATGTTTGGACTTTTGTAAGTTGGAACTTCTAATTTGTTTTAATGCTTATATTTTGCTGCTGCTTATGTATAAAATATAAATCATTATTTAAGGCTTTATCACAACGGGGGGGGGGGGGAGAGTTTTGGCCCTGTTATCAGTGGGTTGTTTGTTTGTCAGCTGATTTTTTGCAGCAACCAGAGAAGTGGCTTTAAGCCAGGAGTTTTAGCCACAGAAAGTAATCATAGCAGGTATTCTTGGAGAAGGAGCATATGAAACAAATTGCTACATGTGAACATTTTTCTAATGTTCTAATGTATTTGATAACAATGTTTAATCACATTATGAAGATGAATCAAGATAAAATATTTAAAAATCTAATGAATAGTCTAAATATTAATTTAATCAGGGAAACTTTGATTAAGGAACTAGAACTTGTATTGACTACTGATTAAAAATTGTCAGAAAATAAAATGTCCATTATATTTCTGCTTTCTGACTCTAGCTGATTTTGCAGACTGGTTCTTGGCTTGTGAATGGCTTGTGTAGATTCTGTTTGAATAAGTTGCTACTTCATTCTGTCTTAATAATGTGCCCTCACGTTGCCTTCATGCGTTGCCTGGAACTTGCAAAGTCAGCAGTTAACTCATTGTTAATTTCCTCCCTTCTGCCTTCTGGTTTGTTTGTTTGTTTGTTTGTTTATGTAAAGCATTTATATTTGTGCCCAATTCAAACATGAAGTTTTGGGATGCATACAATAAAAAACAAATATAAAATACAAAATAATATATACAATCAGATATAAACAACTGGCAGCCAGGAACTTGGATTTATTGCCTTCTTTCTTTATAAGAACTCTAATCAATCTTACCCAAATGCTCAAGGAAAGATCAGGTTTTCACTGCCTTTGTAAAGGCCTAAAGAACTGTGGCCCACCATAGGGTTGAGTGGAAATAACTCTAGAGGGCAAGTACTGCCCTGGGAATGATATCCCCCTTAGGTCTCATCGGATGACATTATTTTAAGAATGTACCTACTTCAAAGTGTGCCCACCATATGGGAGCATTGGAATGAGTAGATGCCATTGGGAGAAAGTGGTGTCTTAAGGGTGATAACCAGCTTCTTAAATCCCACCCAAAAGCCTATAGGAAGCTTTTATTTTAATTAAATAGCTTCTAGATAGTTTTCTGGGCAATCCTATATAGAGATTATTGTAGCAGACCAATGAGATGACTAAGTATGAGTGACTGCAAGTGGAAATTGGCATGTTGGTGTACAAGATTAAGTTATGAAAATGTCTCTAGTAGTTTATAGTAGTTTCCAGGCATTCTATTTGAAATTGATACTTGTATCAAAAGCTGGCATATCATTGTTCAGAAGTCTTGACATGATATTTGATATTTCATAGCTACTGAGAACAAATATTTCTACTTCTGCATATCCATTTGAATAGGTCTATGCTTCCAGTAACTTCTGATATAGAAAGCAAGCTTTTTATTTAAGACATTTTGGATCCTCTACTCTGCATTCTTTAATGAAATTTATAAGGCATTTCCATCAGTTGTCTTATTTCTTTAAAAAAGATACAGAAGATATTCTTATGCTGGTATACTTTTTCAAGCTATCAGACTTTAACTGGATTGTTTGCTTATCAGAATCTATTTTGGTCTTGTGACTTGGAAATTCATTACTTTTAATTTTGAGTTATAATGTTTGATATTGATAAATGTAGATACAATTAGACAATTACTTGCACGTTGATTTAGATTTTTAAATCAAATTTTACATACAAGTTTTAGTAAAAAGGGGAAAACGTATTTAGAATTATATATCTTGAATTTGAATTCTTTTCCAATAAAGGTAAAGGATTCCCTGCCCAGTCTAGTCTGGCTCTAAAGTATGGTCGTCATCTCCGCCAAGAGAGCCAGCATTGTCTGAAGACATTTTCTGTGGTCATTTGACCAGCGTGGCTATACATCAAAGTTGCATGGAATGCTGTTATCAAAGTGGTACCCATTAATCTATTCGTGTTTGCATGCTTTCGAACTGCTAAGTGGACAGGAGCTGGGGCAGGAATGAGAGCTCATCCCATTGCATGCCACTTGGGTCTCAGATCCAGGCTGTCAGCTTTTCAGCTAGCCAAGCTAGGCTGTCAGGCCTGCAATTATATTCCTTTTAGAATTTTGGCCTGCCACACTTTCTCTTATTTCATTATGCTGTTTCTTTACTATAGTCGATGGGAGGGGGGAATAGAAGGAGTAGGATTGTGGAATGCATTATTTTCATTCTTTACTAGAAGCCAGGGTCATCCTTTGTCTCCACACAATCATACCTGACCGGAAGCAGCTGGGTGGAGACGCCAGCATGGAAGAAGAAGATTGGACCATGTAATGGATTGTGGGTGTGGGGACAAGATCATGAACTTTTAACTGGGTGGAATTCTGATGTCATTTCCAGTATTGGAATTCCATAGCACGATGCCAACATGCCTGTCTTATTAAATTGGAATCTTAAGGATAGTTTTGCCTTTGACTCTGATTTAATTCTGCATGGTATTTGGAATGCTGACATAGGCATCTTTAACTGGTGAGCCATTGCGCCCCTTCTTTTAATGTAGATAGACAAATTGAAAGGTATACTTATATTGCCTGTGACCTGATGAGATGCAGCACAAAGCAACTTCCTGTACCTCTGAAAATCTCAGCCACAACTGCTGGCAAGACAAGGAAAAAAAAAACTAGATCACAACTATTCAGCCTGAAATCTCATCATTGTTTCAGACTAAAACATACTTTGAAGATTGCATTTAACTTTCTTGATTAAACTGCTAACAACATTAAGACAATAGTGGCAGGATGGACATTTATCTGCTTTATCTGAATAACAGGTTGTATTGCACTTGGAGGAAACAAAACTGATTCAATGATACATGTGTTGGTAACCTTAAGGCTAGACTACTGCAATGTATATTTCATGCAACAGTTTTCAAAGATTGCCCAAAAATTGCAGTTGGTCCAGAATGCAGTGATAGAAGGCAAGTGTCATTTCTTGGAGATGCCATATTGTTCCTATGTTGGAAGAATTCACTACTACCACCGTAGTTGCCTATACTCAGTTTATTTAATTGTTCCTCAGAGTTCCTTTAGTTTCCAGTCCCTTGATAATCTTGGAGGCCATCTGAACAAGCTTTGGTGTGTTGAAGATTTTTTTTTAGATGTCTATGCCCAGAATGGAATACAATCTTGACCTCATTTTGGGCAATGTCAAAATCCTAGGGTTTCACAAGAACCTGATCGGACTTCTTAGAAAGATAGTATTAACTCAATTTTCTTCATTATCTTTATCATTTAATAAGTGGTCCAGGATTTCTTTAAAAAAACAACAACCCAACATTGTAAAACTTGAAAAAGTTTGAAAAACTCTGTGTTAGTGGGTGGGTGGGTGAAGAGAGGAAATACTTTGGATTCCTGAATTGAAGAGCTAGGTGAGCTCCTAAATGGTCACTTCTAATTATTAATATTCTATTAATTTATGCCTGTGGTCCACTCTCAGGCTTGCCATAATTTAACTCATGATACAGATTCAGATGTCATTTGGGATATAATTGTATTTTAAACTGTGATTATGAAACTGAAAACAGATCAGGATAGAATTCCACTTTAGACTGCATGTTAATTTGTTCATGTTTCCTCTCTCTTTCCTATTTTATCTTTTCAATAATACTGCTCATTCAGCATACTGTATTTTTCAGGGCATAAGATGCACCTCCCCCCCCCAAAAGGGTGAAAATCTGGCTGCGTCTTATACACTGAATACAGCCATTTTTGTCCTTCTGAAACCCTGCTCCACGCATCCCATTTTTTGCAAAAATGGATGTGCAGAGGGTTTGGGAGGCCTGCAAAGTGCTCCTGGGGGCTGGGGAGGGCAAAAACATGTGAAAATGGGCCCATTTTTTCACAAAAACGGTGTTTTTGTCCTCCCCAGCCCCCAGGAGCATTCTACAGGCCTCCCAAATATTCTGCATGCCCCATTGTTTGCCTCCCAAACCCTCCATGTGTTGCGTTTTGGCCCTTCCCAGCCCCCAGGAGCACTTTGCAAGCCTCCTAACTCTCTGCATGCCCCATTTTTCACAAAAAACAATACATGCAGAGAGTTTGGGAGGCCTGCAGAGTGTTCCTGGGGGCCGGGGAGGGCAAAAACGTTTTTTTTATTTACCTCTTCAAAATTTTGGTGCCTGTTATATTCCGGTGCATCTTATAGTCTGAAAAATACGGTATGTACTTGATGATTGTCTATAGTTTTGTAGTAGATCTTTCTTATCAAACTGTTAGTGTTTTATTGTCATTGCTGGGTATGGTATTATAGTATAACTACTGTTTCTTTTATAACTGGTCTAATAGTTAAGGCATCAGAATAGAAACCAGGTGACTGTGATTTCTAGTCCTGCCTTAGGCATGAAAGCCAGCTGAGTGACTTTGGGCCAGTCATTCCCTCTCAGTCCAACCCACCTTACATGGGGTTGGGGAAAATAAGAAGAGAAAGGAGTATTTGGTATGCTTCACGATTTATATCCCACTTTGTTTACAAAAATATTAAATATTAGATATAAATAAATAAAACTTATTTTGTTATACATCCCTGAAATTTATTTCTGGCTCCTTTTAAACCACTATTAAAAATTTAAATCATATCTATATTCAAGGACTGTATACAAATTTTGTCTTTTAAACAATTCATTGTTTTTAAATTATAGATGAAATAATATACAATATTGTTTTTTATTCTATCTAAGTATATTAATACAAAACCTATGTTACTCATGCATATTGATATAATTGTTTTTTAAAATCCATTTCTCTATGAATTGTTAATAAGATAACAGAAAAATGGGAAAACTGATATGTCCATGCTAATTTACATAAGGAAGAAATATAGCAAAAGCAATGTAATGCAATTACTGTAGATTCTTCATCTTATCCCAGTACCTTTATGTGTTTCTTTCATTGTTATTTAACAGCTGGGAACTGGCTCATAGATACATTCAAATATGTCTTTTGGTTGGTTGAGGACTTGTCTCGCTGTGAATACTGTATCTAGCTATTATACTGAAGTTTTTTGCATTGCCTGAGAAAGAATTCACGGCGGCACGTGACATATAGGGACTTCTCCCCCTTCGCTAAACCAGGCGGGGGCAGGGCCAGCATGTGATGCACCTGGCCCATGGGCCGCAAGTTTGACAAAAAAACAAATTAATGATGAGCAACAGAATAAAATACTGGCACTAGCCAGAGGGTTTTAAGACTTGAATATTTGTGATTTTAAGAATAGTTTGGTAGAACTTGAATGGATGATTGTTTGGGCAGATCTCTTAGGACAAGCTGATCTGCTTAAACAGCAAATGGAAGCCATGGCCTACTTTAACTAAAATGCCTTGATGATAGTAACTAATGCTTTAATCACCACTTGGTTGGATTGTTATAACATGCTCAAAGGGGCTACCTTTGGAGATATTGAGGATTGCAGCTGGTGTAAAATGCAGTGACTAGATTGCTAACTAGATAAGCTGGACAGGCAGGAATAATACCTATTTTGAAATTGCTGCATTAGTTGCCAGTAGTTTCTAGGCTTAAAACAAAGTACAGGTTATTACCTTCAAAGGCATTTCTGGTGCAGCATCAGGATTTATCAGGAAATGCCTTGGCAGAATTAAACTTGACTGTCTGATTAAGTCATTAAGAGAGGATATATTTCAGGTCCCTCCTCTATATGATATGTATTATCAGGTGCAAGCCTTCTCAGTGGCATCTCCCACTTTATGGAATACCCTTCTCCCAGTAGAACACAAAACCCCAAATCTGCTGGCATTTCTTAAACAAGAAAAATAATTGGTTTGAGCATTTGTTCAGCCCTTAGATTTACGGATTTATGAAGTTTACTGATGGGTTTCTAGTTTTTTTAAATTGTCATATTGTCACTGTATTTTTTGGTGTATAAGACACACTTCTTCCCCTCCCTGCAAAAGTGGATGGAAATGTCTGTGCGTCTTATAGAACTAATGTTGCCAAAGCCCCACCCACCCGACGGCCCCTACACTGGCCTCTGCCCCCCAGCAATTTGCCTCTTTGCAGCAAACAGCCTGGTCAGCTTCATCACAGCCTAATTTAGCATGAACAGCTGATTGGTGGTTAGATGAACCTCCCGGAACAGTGCTGATCAGCTTTTCCAGGCTCTGGAGATTGCCACCGCTCATAGTCACCATCTCCGTGGGCCCCATTTTTGGCCTCTGCGTGCCCTGTTTTTGGCTTTCGCGCATTCCATTTTCTGCCTCTGTGCACCCCATTTTCGGCCTGTTCCAGGCAGCGGGAATAGGTGCCAGCGGCAATCCCTGCCACATGGAACAGACCAAAAATGGGGCACTTGGAGGCCGAAAACGAGGGGCATGGAGGCAGCAGCTATGTGCGGTAGCAATCCCCGCAGCCTGGAACAGCTCCAACTGCCAATCAGCTGCTCATGCTAATTCAGACTATGCTGAAGCTGACCAGGCTGTTTGCTGCAAAGAGGCAAATTGCTGAGAGGCAGAATTTTTTTTCTTGTTTTCCTCCCCAAAAGTTAGGTGAGTCTTACAGACCGGATCATCTTATAGCCCCAAAAATATGGTAATTTACTACTTCATTAAATTTGTGCCATCAATCTCGTAAGAGACGAATCTGGGCAGCTTACAAACATTAAAACTAGTACACATTGAAATAATAAAACAAAAAAACAATAAATAATACCGGTAAAAGATGGAGAGAAGAGGAACACAAAGGATACCTGATGAGGTGACAGAGAAGTCTCTTCCTGAAAAGCGGAAAATTCTTGACTGATGTAGTCTGCAGCAAGCTCCCTCTACTGACACAGGTTGGCCAATCCCAATGAGGTGAGATGGTTCTTCAGCTAACTTGGTCCCATGGCTTGAATTGTAGCTGGAAACAAATAGTAGCCAATGCAACTTGCAGAACAGTGGTGTAACATGGGCCAAACTAGGGGCCCCAAGAACTGCCTTATGTGCTAGTTGTAGCTTCCGAATACTGAACCCTGACAGGAAGGGGTCCAAATAATCAATTTCTTCCTCGAAACTGCCAAGCAACCATCTTCTCTATCATATTCCTTCAAACGGGAAGGTTGGAAACTAGACAACAATTGTCCAGACAAATGGGGTGAAGAGCTGGGGTTTCTAGGAGGGGGAAAACCAGGGCCTCCTTAAAAGACCACAGGAATGTCCCTTCCTGCAGTGAATGCCCCTTTCTTCAATGAGGTGCAGTGCAATGAATGTCCCTTCCTTCAATGAGGAGGGCTAAAGATCTAATTGACAGGTTGAGGCACTGACAGCATCAAGGATCCTGTTCACTTTATCAAAATCGAACTGTTCCCATATAACTGGGTAAGGCCTATTACCAGGCATATCACATATAGGAACGTCACGCATAGGTTCCAACTGGGAATGAATCTGAACAACTCTGTCAAGTGTTAAAGAAATTCCTCTGTGCAACCCTGAAGATGATCATCTCGGCCCCCCTGTCCCAGGAAGGACTAGGTAATCCTGAACAAGGCAACATTCTGTGATTGCAATGGGTAGAGAAATAATGATGCCTTGTCACTCTTACTGCAACAAAATATGCCTTAAAAGTCATTTCCAGTCAGAGCTATCTCTTATCTAGGCGTGTCTTAACCCTTTTCAAGACCCACAGCTCCTCTATAAACCATAGAGTATGGTGGGTGTGAATAGTCAAGAGAGATCGCACAGGCGCAATCCTGTTCAAAGCCTCAGATGCTCTTTGATTCCAGGACTTTATCAGAGCTTTGGCAGGACTGTGCAGTGAAGCCCTGGGATATTCCCCAGTCCCTCCTGGAACGCATTTGGGTTCATCATTTGCTGGGGACAGATCACTCATATGGGTCCAGGAGGGAGGCAGCATAAGGGATTCTCAGGGACACCAAGGCGTGATCTGAACAGAACAAGGGAGAAGCCAACAGGTTTCACGCACACCCCAGCTCATGTTGCCATTGCTCCGATATGAAAATTATATTTGGTCTGTGGTGACTATCCTGAATCGGATATGAGAGGATCTGAGATAGGCCCATGGCTGCCATGATAGTCATGAACACCTGGGCCACTTCTGAGATCAAACTCAGAAGTGGTTGATTAAACTCTCCCAGAACAATAACCCTGGGGAACTCCACTGCCAGCCCCGATATTCAGGCAGAGAGGTTGCTACCCACAGGAAGGCTGGTTACAATAGTTCCATTTTTGTTTTGCCTTTGTTGTACTGCACCCACAATTGATTAGAATTGAGCAAGTTTTAAATAAGGTAAAATAAATAGATTACAAAGTTCACTTGAATGAATTTTTTGTTTCTTTTTCTTACAGCTTTTATCCAATCAGATAGCATAATAGAAGTCTTACGCTTTGATGAAGGAGGCTTATTACAGGTAAATATTTATTATTAAATAGAATTATATAGTAACATTTCTTCAAATAGTCTGCTTTACTACTTACATTATTTTCTTTAATAAATAAAAAACAATGGTGGAACAACTGGTCAGACTTGATTTCCTTTTCAAATGGTCTCTTGCAAGTCTGCTGTGTTATTTTGCCAATAAGCACATTTCAGCAGGTGTCTTTTTTGATGTCAAGATAAAATTTTAAGTGACTAGCTGCATTTTTGGTGAACTCCCCAATTCCAAAATGATTTTATGAAATATCTTTTTAATTAGTTACAGTGCTGAATTGAACATATAGCTTGTTTATTTTGACTTATTACTCAGCTAACCATGGTTAAAACAAACCATAGCAAATTATGTGAAGTTACCTGATATTTGTTAGTTTGTTTTGAGAGAGAATTGTTTTAAAAATTTGTATTTCACTACACATTTCAAATGATGCTATTATAAAAGAATTTACAGGTAGTCGTTTAATTACAACAGGGGTGTCAAAGTCCGAGGGGCAGATCCACCCTGCAGGGTGCTTAGATGTGGCCCATGGGGCTGTCCTGGAAACAGCAAAGGACCAGCCCATTGTGCCTCTGCCAGTGAAAATGGAGGCCATTGCAGCTGAAAACATAGTTCACAAGGACTGTGTGCGGCCCTCCCGGGCTCTATTTTCACTGGCAGAGGGTTATAGGAGGACGTCACAACTGGAAATGGAGCTGGGGAGTCAGTTTTCACTGGCAGAGTGCTCAGGCCACCAAAGGCACCCCCGACATGAGTGATGTCAGCTGGCCATGCCCACCCCGCCCCCCAAGATCAAAGACAACGCAAATGCAGCCCTTAATGAAATCGAGTTTGACAACCCTGACTTACCACAACTCATTTAGTGATTGTTTGAAGTTATAATGGCACTGAAAAAAATGAGTTATGACCATTTTTCACAACCGTTGCAGCATTCTCATGCTCACATGATCATTTGCTTGGCAAATGACTCATTTTTATGACGGATGCAATATCCTAGGGTTACGTGACCTTCTGAAGTCTATGGAGAAGTTTCACTTAACCATTTTACTAATTTAAGAACTATAGTGATTCACTTAACAGTGGCAAGAAAAGACATAAAATATGCAAAACTCACTTAACAAATATTTTACTTCGCAACAGAAATGTTGGACTCAATTTTGGTCATAAGTTGAGGACCACCTGCATTTGATTTCAAAATAGTTTTTAAAATTATTTTGCCCTCATGAAAAGGGGATGATTCTTTTTTATATTTAATGAGCGCATTTTTGGCAAGACTTTATATAGCCGTGTTATACTTGTTTCTCCTTGAGCGTCTTCATTCTTCATTTACCATTTTTGGGAGGCTGTTTTCCACTTTCCGTTTCACGCTGCTAACTATGTCTTTTCTCCTGTCAGAAAACTAGCATTATGATGGATGAAGGAGGCTTGAGTCAGCATGGGGGGAGAAGGGGAATGTGTCTCACAGCATACAGGTAGTCCTCGAGTTAATTTAGTGACTGCTCAAAGTTACAACGGCACTGAAAAAAGTGACTTATGACTGTTTTTAACACGTACAACCAATGCAGCATCCCTGAGAATGTAGACTGGGAGCGATACACACATCCCTCCGGGTCTCCATTTACACAGTGGCAAAGGACTTTCCTCAAAGCCTTTGCCACCAAGAATGGAGGCCCGGAGGGATGCGTGCTCCCCTCCCAGCTTTTGCTCTTGGCAGCAAAGGCTTTTTCCAACAACAGCAAAATGCTTTGCAAATGGAGGAAAGGCTTCATTGTTTGAGGCCTTTCCTCTGTTTGCAAAGCCTTTTGCCACAGATCTCATCCAGGCCTCCATTTGTAGGACTAGGTCATAAGTAGTTGGGAGTGAGTGGGTTATATTATAATTTCGAACGGTTGCTAAGTGACCTGTCATAACTCGATTACCTCTACTCAAAAAAGAATTTTTTATATGATAGAACAGCAAAATTATTTAACACCATATTTATTCAATGGAAAGGTGTTTTATTTCTGTAAAGCATGACCTTTGAAAAAAGGTTTGTTGTCTTACTTTCTCAGAATACTGGCAGATATTGAAAGGGAAAGTTTGTTTCCTTCTGACCTTGAGTGAGGATTCTAGAAAAAATACTAGGGAATCCAGTGATTGAGTTTCTGTCCATGCATCTGCAGAGTTTTTTTAGTCTTCACTTTCAGTAGGGTAAAAACAATTTAAATGGCTTCCTTCTTTCTTCTTATCTCTTACAACTTTCAAATAGCATAACCTTATTCAAATATTGCCAAAAGGTTCAACCTCACTACTGTAACTCTAATATTGAAGATATGTCAGACCCACCCTAGTAAAATATTAACTCTTTTTATAATTCCTGACAAGCACTTTCCTCTACTTTCTCTTTCAGTTACCTCATTTTTATTTAATCAGTTCTCTTTCCCCTCAGGGCTGCTATCCTTTATAATTTCCTCCCCCCTTTCTGCTAAGAAGGAAAGAAATTTGCTTCTAATTTTACACACACACACACACACACACACACACACACACACACACACACACAC